AAAATTTGGAAGTAAAGCAGCTGTTCGACCAGAATACAACGGAGAGCCAAAAGTTGATCTATCGTAAGCATTTTGTTCTTTTTTTTTTTTTTGAGCATTTTATAAGTCGCTCTTTTGGTCAATCAATCGAAGAATTAGCTGTCCCATTATTTAGTCAGACAGTAGGTTATTTGTAAAAATTTTTATCGGTATCTGCTGATGAGTCGTCTGTGGATGCTAAAGGTTAAAAATTATTATAATTTAGACAAGTACCTGAGGATGAATCGCCAGAAAAAACATTACCACATCGTGAACGTATAAGATATATGACTATTGGAATAGTCATTGCAATTGCAACAACAATTGCGCTTTGTACGGATAATGTGCTAATTTTGGCAACCATTACTGGCAGTTATCCGGGTGTCGGTGTTCAGTACATTATACCGGCTTTGTTAGTCGTCTTTGGCAGAAGGTCAGTTCTAATTTGATTGCCTTTTTTTTTTTCCAATCAGATAGATTAACGTTAACAGCTGAAAATAAAGTGAAAATTTCATTTTCTTAAGTAAAATTAGGATATGTATTGTATGCTGCTATTTTTTAGATATACTCACCAGCAACTAAGTACCGATGTACCCAGCAATGTTCGTAGTCCATTCCATCAAAATATTTGGGCATACATGATGTTTGTCTGGTCGGGTGTAACAATCATTATGACAACATTGAACCTCTGTAAAGTGTTTAATAAAATTTAGGCAATATTCTTTTTTCCTTTGGTTTTTTTGTTTAATAATTATTTGCAATTGCAAATTTAAATAATAATAATGAGCAATAATACTAATAACAGTTATAATAATTTTTATTAATAACATTGAATATTATAACAGCAGTAATAATTTTGTTTAGTTTGCAGCCACGTTTTTCATTCATCAAACCCTCTTACTGTATTTGCCTTCTTCGTTGCTTTAGGCAGTTTTAAGTTTTTCTTACTGTTTGGCTACTGTATCTTTTTCACTCATTTTTTCTTTTCACTAATTTGATTCTCTCATTTTTTTTTTACTTATTACTTCTTTAGTTTTTAGATATTCATAAACTTGGCAATTTTAACAAACATTTTACACATTTAAATTTCGTTTTCCTTTTTCCTTCATTTGTGTACAAAAAATAAGAAAAAACAGACAAAAATTTCTTTCCTTTTTCACTGTACATACGGGTTTTGTTTTCATCCTCCTTTCATTCATCTTTTCACCTTTTCTGCTTGCAATCTTTTTCCTTCGTCTCTTCTTTTCTACTCTTTACTCTCTTTTCTAGGTTCTCCTGCTTTACTTCCAATCTGTTGAGTAGGTTTCTCAGAAAAAAAAAAAGACAAAAAAGTTCATTATAATAATTAAATTTTGCAGGTGAAAAAAAATGATCAGAGAAAAAAGAAAAAGAAAAAACATCAATAAAAATCATTCAAGGCACTTTCTCAGTTTCATTTTTTTTCCTCTGATTCTGGTTTTTTCTTGCTTTTGATTTTATCTATTTAAAAATTTATCAACTTTTGTCGTCTTTACACTGAAACAAAATATCCGAATCAGGTTTTTTTTTAATTTATTCTTCTCTTTTTCGCTTTTTTTTTTTGCTTTTTTAGGCACAATTAACATCACTGTTATTGCTATTTCCAATTATCATTACTATCACTACTATTATTTAATTACTGTTATTTTGGGTACTGTTTTCTTATGAATGGTTCTTTGAGAGGCAATCAATTTGGCTTTTTTACTCTTTGTTTCTTTCTTTTTGTTTCGTTTTTTTTTCAGGAATGATAAAAAGTCAAGAGAAACCATTAGAAATATAGTGTTTTTTTTGTGAAGGGGGAGTAAAAAAAAAACAAGAAGAATTAGAAATAAATTTGGTAGGATTTTTTAGAAATAGTGAAGTAAAGAAAAGAAAAACGAGGACTTTGGTTTTTGGTTTCTATGTTTTAAAGTTTTGAATAGTTTTCTATGATAAAAAGTTTTGTTCTTTTTTCTTTCGCATGTTACAGAAGAAAAAAAGAAAGGTGGAAAAAAAGTACCAAAAAACTGTTTATTAGTTAGGGTTTCTTTTCTTCTTGTTTTGTTTTGTTTTGTCGGTTTTTTTTTGTTTGTTTTTTCCTTATCTATTCATCTACTGATCCAACTAACTATCCATCTGTCTATCCGACTATCTACTTCTAAATCTATCCACTTAGTTACCTATCTATCTATTTATTCATCACTAACCCATTTATCAAGTGGTTAGACACATCTATTTGTCCACCTAACCGTTCACCTGTTCCCTCTTCTATGCATCTATCAACTTATCTATCCATTTGTTTATCCATCTGATAGCTTTAATACCAATGGAATTCTGTTGATTGGTTTTTTTCTTCGTTTATTCTTATCGTTATTTTACTGTTTTTTTTCTGTTTGTTTTGTCTACTGATCACAAATTTACTGTTTTAAAAGCTTTAAACAACTAACTTACAAACACTTATAAACGTTTATAATTTTTTGAAGAATTTTTCTGCACTTGATTTTTTGTTTGTGTCAAATATATAATTCTTATTCGTCAGTATTGCTTTTTTCTTCAAAATCCTACTTTTTTTTACTGCTTTCTCAGCTTAATTCAAATGTTCTTTGCTTCTTTTCTGTCCAGTTGTTTATATTTTACGGTATTTGTATTTTGGGTATCAAAGCTTATGGAATTGTGTACAATATGAATTGACAGCTTTAAAAGGTTTAAACTTGCAAATACTTTAAGAATAGCAGATGACAGAAAAATTGGATACTGCTTTACAGAAGCAGCATTCTTTCATCTGTTATTACATTTCAGTGTTCCAGTGTTGCTCCTTGTTTATTTTGTTGTCAACATTATGATCTTTGCAAGAAGTGAAAAACGGGAAGAGAAAGGGTGTAAAATAGTTACATATGTTATTTGGGTGGGAGAAAGGGGGGAATAAGTAAATATGTTGAACTTTTATATCTTTATTTACCTGTAAATTCTGTCCTTTTTTTCCCAAAGGAAGCACTGAAATGTCAAAAAAAAAAAAAAAGAATTTGCTGTGCTTTTTCTTTTTTTTTTTTAATTTCAAGTTCTCTTTGTTGTTTGTTTCTGGTCCGATTCGATGCTTATTGGTTTTATATGTACTTTTAATTTCCTGTTTAGTTTGATTGAAAAGACGTATGAGCTTTTTTTTCTTTTTTTTTT